TGTCTAGCTTCTGCACTAATCTCTTGTGAGGAACTGTGTCAAAGGCCTTCTTGCAGTCCAAGAAGATGCAATCAACCCACCCCTCTCTCTCGTGTCTTACTTCTGTTATTTTATCATAAAACTCCAGAAGTTTTGTGACACAGGATTTGCCTTCCATGAATCCGTGCTGGTTGGCATTTATACTCTTGTTCCGTTCCAGGTGCTCCACCACTCTGCTCCTGATAATCTTCTCCATAACTTTGCATACTATACACGTCAATGACACAGGTCTATAGTTTAGTGCCTCTTTTCTGTCTTCTTTTTTAAAAATGGGAACTACATTTGCCGTCTTCCATACCTCAGGTAGTTGCCCAGTTTCCAGGGACGTGTTGAAGATTGTGGAAAGTGGCACGCACAACATATCTGCTCCCTCTCTAAGGACCCACGGGGAGATGTTGTCCGGTCCCATTGCCTTTGAGGTATCGATGTCCCTTAGCAGTTTCTTCACCTCCTCCTCATCTGTATGTATGTCGTCCAGCACTTGTTGGTGTATTCCTTGCTGGTGTCCCCATCTGATCTGTCCCCCCATAGTCCTTCCTGTCTCTACTGTAAATACTTCCTTAAATCTCGTGTTGAGCTCCTCACATACCTCTTGATCGTTTCTTGGATTCTCCACCTTTTTTCCTCACCTTATCACCTGGTCCTTGACTTTTGTCTTCCTCCTAATGTGGTATACAGCATTTCGGGTCAGATTTGACTTTCGAGCTAGTCGTTTTCATACTGTCGCTGGCCTTTCCCCCCCTTTATCTTGCATACTCTTTCGGGCTCTTCTACAATCTCCTTGTTTTACGGGGCCCTATGCCTCCTGTCCTTTTTTCCATTCTCGTTGCATTTATTTTTTGCCTCCCTACACTTCGGTAAACCAAGGACTCGTTTTGGTCTTCCTATTTTTCGTTTCCCTTGGGAACAAACCTTTTCCTCTGCCCCTTTCCTTTGTTCCCACATATTCCATCACTCGTTTACTATTTTCCTACCATTTCTCTGCCCAAAGAACCCCTGCGGGAATTTTTTCCATACCTGTGTAGTCCCCCCTTTTATATTTGGCCTGTCCCCTTCAGTTCCTGTTACCTTCTCCACTTGTAACTCTACTATATAATCAAAACTCAGAACCACGTGATCGCTACTCCAAGGCCTAAAAGTCTGAACGCTCAGGGTGAACACAAGACCAGTCTTGCTGGCTCATCCTCCCCTCTCTCTCTGGTTTTTGTCCCTGACATGTTGATGCATGAGGTTTTCAAGTACCACATCCATCATCTTGGCTCTCCAGCTTGGGGACCCCCATGTGGCTCCAGGTTTTCCCAGTCGTTCTCCCTGTGGTTGAAATCGCCCATTACCTGTAACTTTGCTCTGTTCGAGTGAGCTCTTCTTGCCACCTTCAGCCAGTGTGTCCACCATCACCCTGTTGTTTTCTTCGTACTCCTCTCTTGGCCTCCTGCAGTTCTGTGGTGGGTTATACATCACTCCAATGACTACTTTATGTTCTCCGGACTAAATTTTGTACCTATAATGTGTATCTCTTTCCCAATCATGTCCATCCCTTTTCCATTTCCTCAAATCCCCATCGGTGTTTTATGAGCAGTGCAACCCCTCCTCCCCTCTACTCTTTCTAATCTTTCCTCAGGATCTGATATCCCGTTGGAAGATTGGTGTCTGTTATTGTCTCAACGAGTTTTGTTTCGTGACTGCTATGATGTCTGGGGATTTTTCACTGATTCTTTCGTTCCACTCCTCATGTTTATTCGTTATTCCATCCGCGTTTGTGTACCAAACTTTCAGTTTCTTTTCTATCATTGTGGTCATGCAAGAATATTGGGGTTGGGGGAGCGAGAGCCTTGGTGGGGGCCTATATGGGGCTGTGGTGTAGGTGGGGTTTGTGATGATGGGGGTGGGGTCAGAATGCCCATAAGGGACAGCTGTTGGGTGAGGTTTGTGATATGGGGGTTGGTGGCAGAGGGAACAGTGAGTGGGTTGTAGTATAGGTTGCTCAGTTGCGTTGGGAATGTCGCGGTTGGAGTCTTTTGGTGGGAGATTCTGTGGGGTGTGTTTGCCCTTCCTCCTGTGTCTGGGTCCTGCTCATCTTCATCATTGCCTCTCGTTCCTCCTTGTGTGTGTGTGTGTGTGTGTGTGTGTGTGTGTGTGTGTGTGTGTGTGTGTGTGTGTGTGTGTGTATGTGTGTGTGTGTGTGTTTGTGTGTGTGGTGTGTGTATGTGTGTGTGTATGTGTGTGTGTGTGTGTGTGTGTGTGTGTGTGTGTGTGTGTGTGTGTGTGTGTGTGTCTACCCTTGTGTGTGTGTGCTTGTGTGTGAGGGAGGGAGGGTTAGGGGGGGGGTAGGTGGTGTGGTTGAATGATCCGTCGTGTAGGCACAAATTTAGTCTCATTTATCTTTCCCAATTATGCTACTCTCTCCACTTATTGCCCTTTCTGGATTTACGTATTAATTATTGCTCGTTATTATCATTTTCCTTGTTCACATTGAGAGAGGACTTCCTAGCTTCCTAGGTATTCTTACAGCTAATAACTACCGGTAGTAACATTGCCTGTGTGCGTGTGTGCATGTACTCACCTATTTGTACTCACCTATTTGTGGTTGCAGGGGTCGAGTCACAGCTCCTGGCCCCGCCTCTTCGCTGATTGCTACTAGGTCCTCTCTCTCCCTGCCCCATGAGCTCTATCATACCTCGCCCTAAAACTATGTATGGTTCCTGCCTCCACCACATCACTTTCTAGGCTATTCCATGGCCTGACTACTCTATGACTGAAGAAATACTTCCTAACATCCCTTTGATTCATCTGAGTCTTCAACTTCCAATTGTGACCTCTTGTGTCTGTGTCCCATCTCTGGAACATCCCGTCTTTGTCCACCTCGTCTATTCCGCGCAGTATTTTATATGTCGTTATCATGTCTCCCCTGACCTTCCTGGCCTCCAGTGTCGTCAGGCCGATTTCCCTCAACCTTTCTTCATAGGACAATCCCCGTAGCTCTGGGACTAGTCTTGTTGCAAACCTTTGCACTTTCTCTAATTTCTTGACGTGCTTGACTAGGTGTGGATTCCAAACTGGTGCTGCTTACTCCAGTATGGGCCTGACGTAGATGGTGTACAGAGTCTTAAACGAATCCTTACTGAGGTATCGGAACGCTATCCGTAGGTTTGCCAGGCGCCCGTATGCTGCAGCAATTATCTGATTGATGTGCGCCTCAGGAGATATGCTCGGTGTTATACTCACCCCCAGATCTTTTTCCTTGAGTGAGGTTTGCAGTCTTTGGCCATCTAAACTATATTGTGTCTGCGGTCTTCTTTGCCCTTCCCCAATCTTCATGACTTTGCATTTGGCAGGGTTAAATTCAAGGAGCCAGTAGCTGGACCAGGCTTGTAGCCTGTCCAGATCTCTTTGTAGTCCTGCCTGATCCTCGTCCGATTCGATTCTTCTCATTAACTTCACATCGTCTGCAAACAAGGACACTTCTGAGTCTATCCCTTCCGTTATGTCGTTCACGTATACCAAGAACAGCACAGGTCCTAGGGCTGACCCCTGTGGAACCCCGCTTGTCACAGGCGCCCACTCTGACACCTCGTCGCGTACCATGACTCGTTGTTGCCTCCCTGTCAGGTATTCTCTGATCCATTGCAGTGCCTTTCCTGTTTATGTGTGCCTGGTCCTCTAGCTTTTGCAGTAACCTCTTGTGAGGAACTGTGTCGAAAGCCTTCTTGCAGTCCAAAAATACGCAGTCGATCCACCCCTCTCTCTCTTGTCTTACTTCTGTCACCTTGTCATAAAACTCTAGTAGGTTTGTGACACAGGATTTTCCTTCCCTGAAACAGTGCTGGTTGTCAATTATACACTTGTTTCTTTCCAGGTGCCCCACCACTCTCCTCCTGATGATCTTCTCCATGACCTTGCATACTATACACGTTAGTGATACAGGTCTGTAGTTTAGTGCCTCATGTCTGTCTCCCTTTTTAAAAATTGGGACTACATTTGCCATTTTCCATACCTCAGGGAGTTGCCCAGTTTCAAATGATGTGTTGAAGATCTTTGTTAATGGCTCACACAATATCTCTGCTCCCTCTTTAAGGACCCATGGAGAGATGTTGTCTGGTCCCACCGCCTTTGAGGTGTCAAGTTCGCATAGCAGCTTCTTCACCTCCTCCTTGGTTATATGTACCTCATCCAGCACTTGCTGGTGTGCCCCCCTGTTCTGATTTCTTGGAGTCCTACTGGTTTCCACTGTAAATACCTCTTTAAATCTTGTGTTGAGCTCCTGACATACCTCTCGGTCGTTTCTTGTGAATTCCCCATCACCCTTCCTCAGTCTGATTACCTGGTCCTTGACTGTTGTTTTCCTCCTGATGTGGCTGTACAACAGCTTCGGGTCAGTCTTTACTTTTGATGCTATGTCATTTTCATATTGTCTCTGAGCCTCCCTTCTTACCTGTGCATATTCGTTTCTGGCTCTTCGGCTAATTTCTTTATTTTCCTGAGTTCTCTGTCTTCTGTACCTTTTCCATTCTCTAGTGCACCTAGTTTTTGCCTCCCTACACCTTTGAGTGAACCAAGGACTCGTTCTGTTCTTCCCATTATTTCTGTTTCCCTTGGGAACAAACCTCTCCTCTGCCTCCTTGCATTTTGTTGCTACATAGTGTGTGTGTGTGTGAGTGTGTGTGTGTGTGTGTGCATGTGTGTGTGTGTGAATGTGTGTGTGTGCATGTGTGTGTGTGAGTGTGTATGTGTGTGTAAGCTGAAGTAGGGTGACAACTCTCAGTCTTGTAAATTCAACAGTTTAGAGGTAAATATTTTTCTAAAATGATAAATTCAGTCAAGACTCATAGTGTCTATGTCTCCGTGTTTGGTGTCGATCTTTGAAAAATGACAGCGGTGTTGACCTCTCTTAACTAAACTCTTCAACCACTTAATATCTACAACTTTTACCCTTTTTTAATAAAATCCTTTAATTTCCACAGCCTCTTTAATCTCTACAGCCCTTTTTTCTAACCCTTAACCCCTCCGTTTCTCCAACCCTTAACCCTTAAACCCAACATCTCTCAACCCCCCCCCCCTTAAACTTGACGAACCTTAACCCCTTTAATCTGTACATCTGTAGAATACTAAATATCCCCTAGTTCTTCTATCCCTCAATTTCTACTACTCTTAACTCCATAATATATACATTCCTTAACCTTGACCCTTTAAACACGCTTCTCTTATCTCCTCTGTGCTTCAGATAATTGAGAATAATATCAAATATAACATTTACACTGAGCAGGAAATGAAAAGTACATCTCGTGGGGGAGAAAAAAGCTTAATGTAATTTGCAGGAACAGCGATAAAAAACATTTTTCAATTTGTTATTAATTAATGTTAAACCAACAATTTGCAACGTTGCTGGCAGTTCAAAAGTTGCTAAATAATAATATATATGTTTTAGTGAGCCTTTATTATATTTGCAGTGACAGTTCACATGGTGTTTTTCTCAGAGTTGCAATATATACCGAGTTTTGCTTTGGTGGGAGAGGTTGAAAACAGCTTTATTGTCAGCTGCGTGAGCAGAACAGCAGGAAGATGGTGGTGTGGGCAGAGATGATGGTGTGGGCAGAGATGATGATGGTGTGGGCAGAGGAGATGATGGTGTGGGCAGAGGAGATGATGGTGTGGGCAGAGATGATGATGGTGTGGGTAGAGGAGATGATGGTGTGGGCAGAGATGATGGTGTGGGCAGAGGAGATGATGGTGTGGGCAGAGGAGATGATGGTGTGGGCAGAGATGATGATGGTGTGGGCAGAGGAGATGATTGTGTGGGCAGAGAAGATGATGGTGTGGGCAGAGGAGATGATGGTGTGGGCAGAGGAGATGATGGTGTGGGCAGAGATGATGATGGTGTGGGTAGAGGAGATGATGGTGTGGGCAGAGAGATGATGGTGTGGGCAGAGATGATGGTGTGGGCAGAGATGATGATGGTGTGGGCAGAGGAGATGATGGTGTGGGCAGAGGAGATGATGGTGTGGGCAGAGGAGGTGATGGTGTGGGCAGAGATGATGATGGTGTGGGCAGAGGAGATGATGGTGTGGGCAGAGATGATGATGGTGTGGGCAGAGGAGATGATGGTGTGGGCAGAGAAGATGATGGAGTGGGCAGAGGAGATGATGGTGTGGGCAGAGGAGATGATGGTGTGGGCAGAGATGATGATGGTGTGGGTAGAGGAGATGATGGTGTGGGCAGAGAAGATGATGGTGTGGGCAGAGGAGATGATGGTGTGGGCAGAGATGATGATGGTGTGGGCAGAGGAGATGATGGTGTGGGCAGAGATGATGGTGTGGGCAGAGGAGATGATGGTGTGGGCAAAGGAGATGATGGTGTGGGCAGAGATGATGATGGTGTGGGCAGAGGAGATGATGGTGTGGGCAGAGAAGATGATGGAGTGGGCAGAGGAGATGATGGTGTGGGCAGAGGAGATGATGGTGTGGGCAGAGATGATGATGGTGTGGGTAGAGGAGATGATGGTGTGGGCAGAGAAGATGATGGTGTGGGCAGAGGAGATGATGGTGTGGGCAGAGATGATGATGGTGTGGGCAGAGGAGATGATGGTGTGGGCAGAGGAGATGATGGTGTGGGCAGAGGAGATGATGGTGTGGCAGAGGAGGTGATGGTGTGGGCAGAGATGATGATGGTGTGGGCAGAGGAGATGATGGTGTGGGCAGAGAAGATGATGGTGTGGGCAGAGGAGATGATGGTGTGGGCAGAGGAGATGATGGTGTGGGCAGAGATGATGATGGTGTGGGCAGAGGAGATGATGGTGTGGGCAGAGGAGATGATGGTGTGGGCAGAGATGATGATGGTGTGGGCAGAGGAGATGATGGTGTGGGCAGAGAAGATGATGGTGTGGGCAGAGGAGATGATGGTGTGGGCAGAGGAGATGATGGTGTGGGCAGAGATGATGATGGTGTGGGCAGAGAAGATGATGGTGTGGGCAGAGGAGATGATGGTGTGGGCAGAGATGATGATGGTGTGGGCAGAGGAGATGATGGTGTGGGCAGAGAAGATGATGGTGTGGGCAGAGGAGACGATGGTGTAGGCAGAGAATGATGATGTATGCAAATGATGGTGTGTGCACAGAAGATGGTGAGGGCCAGAATGAACACTAACATGGAACACCAACAGAGAATGCCACCATAAGCACCATCAACCAACACCAACACTAGCATGAGCGCCAACGGCTAGCACCAACACTACCATACAATGCCATCATCAACACTATTATCATCATCAACACTATCACCAGCAGTTAGCACCAGTTCTAACACCACCACCACCAACACCACCATCTAACACGACCATCCAACGCCATCACCGTTCACCACAACACCATTACCAGCAGCTGGTGCCAACATTAACACAAGTCTCACCAGTACTAACAACCAGCTTCAACATCAACACTAACACCAGCAGCCAACACTAACACCAGCAGCCAACACTAACACCAGCAGCCAACACTAACACCAGCAGCCTCCACTCAACGTCAGAAAGCTGCAAGATAAACAAACTCGGCAGGATAAACACTATCACTGCATCAACCACCGTCATCGACGTCCCCAAAACCACAAGTTTGCAAGTGCTTCTTTTGTTTGGCTTTACATGAGCTGCTACAAATGCTTTTACTAGGAATGCGTGACGTCAGAGACATAAGTCGCAGAACCAGCTTTCATTACCAATGCATTTTCTTAATGTTAGACCCTATTGATAGGCCATAGTTTTACGATGCCCGAAATGCTCTGCTTGATCATTGACTTTCCACATATCGTGTACTATTTTGTAACTATTGTTAACAACAATATTTGTTTTAATAACTATTGTAAGCTATTTTTATAATTGAAATTCATTTTTAATGGAACAACGCTTCTCTCAGTGCAAAAAGGAAAGAAGAAAATCATAGTTGGTACAGCAGGTAAAATGTTATAGAGGAACTTGGGAGTCTTTAGAAAATTACAGAGGACAGGATAAGAGACACAATAATATGTCCAAGACCTGGACAAATTACGCATTTAGCAATGTATTGTGAAAGATATATATCAAGAGGAATAAGATTCGTGTCAGGAATATTGTGCATTAAGGTCGATTCAATATGTGTTCTCTAGCTTTGATTATCCTTCCAATTATATAAACTGTCTCTACTCTTGTGCTATACATCTTTTTCCTCTCGTAATGGCATTTTTCGTCTGAAAACCTCCTGTGTGTATATATATATTTATTATATATATATAATATATATATATATATATATATATATATATATATATATATATATATATATATATATATATATATATATATATATATATATATATATATATATAATATACTCATATACTTAGATACTCCTATATTTATCAAGATTCACAAAATCTTGCTAAAAAACGCCACTTTTTGAATATCAAACTTGCATTCATCATACAAATACAGTTCATAGTAATCTGATCTATACTTCTGCCACTGATGATTAATGTTCCTCGTCCTCTCTCTCCAGGTGAAACTGGCCGTTCACTCTCTGACAGAGTCAAAAAACACAGAAGTGTTCGCCCCTACTGACAAACAACGCCCTTTTCTGTCATGTGAGAGATCATACCCATCCTATAAACTAGTTCTCTGTTAAAACTATTTATCCTTCCTGTCTTCATAAGTAGTGTGGTACACCTTACATTGCGCCTTAATCATAAATGATGGTACACACTCAGGGAGAAAAGCATAGCTTAGGGCTCATTGGGACGGCGAGGAGGGTTTAGCCGATATCATAATACCGGAACAGTACCAGCAGCTCCATGGGTCAACCACAATAATAAGTAACAACAGATACTGGTGCAGTTGCTGGGAAGTAAGGACTGACATAACCCCTATGCCGTCCCACTGACATTTGTATTTATTATATCTCTTCTGATTTAGGTGTCTGTGTTTACTCTCTCATGGGGATATATTTCTAGCGCAGTAAACGTTGTGCCTTCCACAAGCTAGTTAGTATTGTTATTAAACTACAGAAAAAAACATAGTTTATTTTTATTCCTGATCCGTTGCTTTCCGACACATAGGTGTTATTTTGTTGAACAGGCCATTATAAACAATGAGATCCAAAATGGCGATCAGTCCATATTCATACGAAACCAAATAGTTTCTTCACGTACTTAATACCTGCTGTGTCAAAACATGTTCCAGACCAGCTCTGTATTTGATGGAGATATTTTTTTTTTTTTACGAAGGATAGAGTCAACTTATAGCTGTTCAAGGTTTTTCACGGTATTCTGGTATAACAACTCAGTCAGGCAAAGTGACTTATTCCCACTGACGAAGAGACTCGATCAGACAGTCTGAAAGAGAAGTACATAAGATAAGATAACATAAAATTTGTTCGGATTTTTAACTCGAGGTCTGTCTGGCTTATTTCCATTGGGGTTCTTTAATCTTGCTCCCTAGGATGTGACCCACACCAGTCAACTAACACCCAGGTACCTGCTTACTGCTAAGTGAATAAGGACATCAGGTGAAACTTAACATCCCCAACGCTTCCACCCGTGTCGAGTCTCTTGTTTTCGAGAAAGTATGAAACAGCTGATTCATACAAACAAGGAACAGCTGACTCATAAAAACATGGAACAGCTGATTCATGTAAACAAGGAACAGTTGATTCATATAAACAATGGACAGCTGATTCATATAAACAAGGAACAGCTGATTCATATAAACAATGAACAGCTGATTCATATAAACAAGGAACAGCTGATTCATATAAACAATGAACAGCTGATTCATATAAACAAAGAACAGCTGATTCATACAAACAAGGAACAGCTGATTCATATAAACAAGGAACAGCTGATTCACATAAACGAGGAACAGCACATTCACATAAACGAGAAGCAGCTGATTCACATGTGCCTCATCACTGAGGCTTCTCAGTTATCCTGTGCGAGTCTCACTTCCCGTCCCA